GGAGAGGGGGGATGTCAGGGAGGCCTTTAATCCGGCTTGCTGAGATTTGCCCGCGCCGCTTTGATGAGGGCGGACAGGCCGGAGAGTGGTTTGGTATCGGAGAGGAAAGGATGGTTTAATAATTCCGCAGCTGTTGCTCTCTTCTCCGGATCAACTTGGAGACACTTGTCCAGGAAGTCGCGTAAGAGAGGGCTCACCTCCGTCGACTTTGGCTCAGGACGCTCCCTTGTCTGGATCAGATATATGGCCTACAAGTGAACTGACATGCTTTATTCTCTACGCGAAGTCGTTCGGTCTTTTTGGCCTTCCAGCTCTTCTGACAGCGGGACTGCGCAAACTTTGTGGGAGGGAACTGCACAATGCATCGCTACAATCCCCCTGCACTTTACTTCTCTGTCACTCCAAATGGTTGCTGTTTTGTGTGAATGTACCTGTGACGGTCGGTTAACACATAAAATTGGCCTCTTGAATTAGAAAAACCAGTTTCATTTGTTAAATGTGTCAAGTTGCGCCATGTAGGGGGGAATGGAGAGCGCTGAGGTGAAAGGCTGCCACACGCTTGAGCTCCATCTAATGTCTCCACATTGCGTCAATCTATAAGCATTTCAAGTATCAAAACAAAACCATCTACTGCGAAAAACAACTCGACCAACCTAATCACCAACTAGGCAATACCAAGACATGAAATGGCATTCACTAAGCGGTAATAGACTTCATGCTAACACCTTTGTTTGTTGCCATCGTAGTAAAAAAAACCAAAGACCTCAAAAACATTGACATGCTTCAATACATGAAAAGTTAGTCATTAAAAAGACATAATATTAAAAACCATGACTACGACCATACCTTGAGAGGTGGTTCATTGAGGTAGGGTGGTTCACCATCCAACATTTCAATTATCATTATTCCTAACGACCAAATATCGATTTTGGGTCCATATTTCACCGATTTATTGACCACTTCAGGCGCCATCCAGTAGGGTGTCCCCACCATTGTCTGACGTTTGCTTTGTCGACTGCCCATTTGGGCGCAGAAACCGAAATCCGTTAGCTTCACATGACCCGATTTGCCCAACAGTATGTTGTCCGATTTGATGTCCCTATGTTAGGCAAGGGAGGAATTGAGGCAAGAGAAGAAATCAGCATTCGCTACTCAACGAGAATCATATTACTTGGGTCGTTACAGTCGCCTGAATTAAAGCAACCACAGCATCCGAGCTTGCCTTCAAGCATAGCATTTCGAATTTTGGCAATTCCGTGTGAGAACACCCTTGGCATACAGCAAGCATACATCAAAACCTATGGGATCCATGCAAATAAGCTTCCTATACATCGATGTAAGACTTCAAACCATCCTAGAGAGGTAACAGTAGAAAACAGTATGACCATTCCTTAAAAACCTCTTTTCACAAAGACATTAATCCGGAGTAACCCAAGTTGCAAAGAAGGGATTCTTTACTCAGGAAGGACCAATAATACCGGGATGCAGACATCGTGCATAGAACTAGACCTGCCATCCTGCTGCAAACAGTTCTTCACATGTCCACACCTCATTTACTTGAATCAAATCAACTTTTAAAGCACCAATCAAGTGGAACTTTTGACCCTCGACTATTGTGTGTAGCTATAGGCATGGTCACAAAACACTCCTTTACACGTGCACACCCACAACCGCGCATGTCTATAAATGGGTTTTCAAGTTGTCGCGATTGCACACTGAGTGAAACACACCAAAGCCTTATCCTCACACCAGACGAATAGAAGTGTAAAATGAGCTTTCTACACCACAATGACAGTAGTAAGGCGATAGTCCCGTGAAAAGTGATAATATCCAAGCTGAATTACACCTCAAAGCCTACTGCTTGAACAGCCATTACTGCTGCTGAGAAAAATAGGTTAAAAAGTAATGACAAGACCTCTAGAATGGCATAAAAATAGTCTAAATCAGAACGTACCTATGAATAATATTCTTCTCGTGGAGGAAATTAATAGCTTTGAGGCATTCCTTAACAACCGCAGCAATGAGCGGTGTCTCCATGATAGTTTCAGTGACTACGTCGGTGAGGGGACCACCATCCAGGTACTCCATGACAACCCACAACTCGTCTTCGTTGCGCATAAGGAAGGATTCAATGTAATTCACAATGTTCTCGTGGCGAGTATGCTCCATCACTTGGATCTCTGAGATAATCAGGTCGCGGTTGGGCTGCTTGGACAGGTTCATTATTTTAATGGCAACTGGTTCGTTGGTGGCTTTACAACGAGCACGTCGAACTGTCCCTGACGCCCTACAACAGCAGAGTAGATACATAATCACATCGCTTAGGGATATACAAAGCAATTGAGAATTGTGGAAAGTCAAGTGTATGCAATGATTCAGATAGCCAGATCGGGTGCACTGAAAGCTTGCCAGCCTAAAGACCACAGAACATCAAAGTTAGAACAGCAATGTTATTTTTAAACGGCACGCCCGACTAGTTGCCATTCATCCGCCTAACAATCACACGGTCTTAAAAAATGAAGAACGTGTAAGAGAGGCACTCTTAACGCCTGAGTGGCATCGTTCTCTCATCTATTGAGGTGAGATAAATGCATCAATTAAAATCACAAAATATACCCACAATAGCAGGCGTAAAAGCACTTCACTTATAATTTACTCACCCTGAACCCAAAACAGTCTCCAAGGAATATTTGTCAAGGGGATCTCCAGGGGATATTATTTTGGCTGCAAAAAAGCACCAAATGCATAGAGATTCCAAATTAACACAAATAATAATTACATTAAAATCGAGTTAAATGCGATTTACCATTTTGATAGAGCTTTATTTCAAAAGCAGAGCTAAGTAAAACTGAACGTGATAACAGGGCACTTCCTGTCAGTAATTAAATGCAGGAGAAAAGAACAGCCGAGCGATAACGGAACAAAAATAAGGAAATACTGCATATCAGATGAATTACTTAATGCATGTATGCTAGGCTGTCCCAAAAAAAGCCCACACATCTGCCTTAGGTACCCATAGCATTAAAGCCGACTTACGCATCGAAGACAAGCAGACGGGATAGCGCAATGACAGTAAGGAACGAGCGAATAATGCGGACCATCCGCTTTAATTAGCCAGCAGAAGATTAACATAGGATCATTATAGCAACAGGGAAGCACCATTTAATACGAAGACGTAGACCCATTTAGGCACTGCTTTGAGAGCTCTCTGACTCTCCCATTCCCACTTATTCTACAATATTGTTGAGCGAGCCAACAACACCGGCACAAGGCCTTTACAGAAATACTCATTTCAGTAACCCAGTTGATCTTCCAACGCGTACACACAACCCATGATCTGCATTGATTCACGGAACCAAAAGCTGTCTCAGCTAAAAAGCTACGACCCTCTAGTTCATCAGACAACTGGCTTTGTAGAAACCTTTAGACCAGAAAGAGCTCCGCCTATTAACCGCAGTGCGTCCAAAGAGCGACTTATGAGTTCATACGTACATATGTGCACGAAGAATACCAATGTGACGTTCGTTAGTGATTACTTAGCAAAGCAAAATTCTTGAAATTGACTGGCTCAATAATTACACACCAATGGAAATGACATCACTAATATGGGTGAATCGATACCGAAACAGTGCAAGACGCGCATAAAAGAAAAAACTACTTGCAAAGTGCTCGACTACGTTCAGGATAAACAATCTAACTTAAATTTTAAATCAAAACCACTATTACGCAAAGATCCATCACGTCGGGCAAGATTCAATGAACCAAGAAAGTGACTGCAAAATGGTCTACAAATAAGGGTTCAAAATTGGCACCATCCCAAAATCGACTAAAAATAGCAATAAGTAACTTATCGTGATCGGAGGTAAGGCGAAGATAGTTCATTAAAATTTGGCCTTGAGAAAGCATTCGAGTGTGACAACAAATTAAAAGGAATAGACGATGAAAATTCGAGACAGATATCGAACATGCTTGAACAACCATGGTCATGGATTGATGTCTTGAGCAAAAGCAGGGACATTTAGATGCTTACACAAAGCCTCGTAGAATTCTGGATCGGTCATCTTCTTTGCTTTTCGTCGTAATGGAGCATCTTTAGCCTAAGGGACAATGAAAATGAAAAGTGGAAAGAGGCGAAAACCAACTCCAAAACCCTTAACTAGAACGTATCATTCGTACATAGCAGCAAAGAGGGTGATAGGCATGAAGAACCTTCCTCTAAAGTTCCAAAAATGTTACCTAGTACTACAGAAATTGGACGATACACTACATCTGATAGAGAAAGCACAACGAACCTTTTCCGGAACAGCAGTTTGTGCCACAGATGGCTTTATTGACGAAGAAGGTTTAAGTGGATTGGTGGGCGCTAAGCCATCGGCCACCTTGGGTTTATTTCTTTCCGAATTCATCATCACTTTCGCTAGCAGCGTCTGAGCAGACGTAGCATCCGGATTATTGCTAGAATCTGATCCCGTGCTGTTATGCTCAAGCTTTCCATTCTCAATCCCTGAACCATCCGATAATTTCCGATCCGAATCATCTAGCTCACGTAAGGTGGAAAATTTGAACATTACCCAAATCATCCAAACTGCTCCCACTGACGCCAAGAAATTTCTCATTGTGTTCCTGCTGTTTTATAAATTTGTCATGTGTCTGACAGGCATTAATAATTTCCTCAGGATGACAGATCTGCTCCTCATCCGTAAAATTAGACTGAGAAATAAGTTCTTGCCATGCTTCTGGCATTCCTTTGAACTTTTTTGTCACAGGATCATATTCCACGTGAAGTAACTTCTCCACGCTCGTAGGCATCGAAATTTCACTTATGTTGCCCTGTTTTTCGCTCCATCGTTGACGAATACGACTAAAAGGCTTCATAATCCGCACAACACTCTCAGAGCGCTGCTACACTAATGCCGCGCCTGTGGAAAAGCTCGACCAAAATATGAATTCAAAATTAAGTTAAAACTTAATCACACATAAAAATTTAATTTTAAAATGAAATTAGGGTTTAATTAATTTATTTTTTAAAAAGAGTTAGATTAAGCGAAAAATTTTGTCAAGGATGCATATCCATGATTAACTATTAGGTGTAAATAAGTAGATAAAAAATATTGCAGCTGTAGAACATGCCCTTCTACTCTCATCCTCTTAGATCTCAAAATTTAAGAGACGGTTAGCTGCAGCAGCTTTACCACGCGTTTCACATAGGAAGAACAGAAATAGGGAGTAAAGATGATCCGAGAAGCAGATATCACACGGAGAAGGAATCCTCACAATCCTTTCACACCGGATTCGTAAACCGTATCGAAGCTGTAGCGTCTCAATACTCCCCACCGACGGAAGAAGGCAGTAAGTGAAGCTGGATGCGTGGATTCCAAACATAACATAGCCAATAGTTCAAGCATGGACTGAAAACCGGCCCACTTGAGTAAAGGCCAGACAAATCTTAAAATGACTGCCAAAGACCAGGTGGTCACTGTAAGAGACGCCCGTCCACTCTCCGGTCCCAATACCACGAACCCCAAGAGACAGTTGGTTGCAAATGATTTATTAGGCATTGCTATTTGGAAGGATGAGAAAGGGATGCAGAGGAAGGCTCCTCGCCGGCTTCACGCACTTGATCCACTTTCCCGATTGGTTCCCGCCTCTCACCTATAAAATTACACCTGAACAAACTAGTACATATTACACATTCCCCTCTTCCCTTTCAAGCACCGTCCTCGGGACTGACCAGCGGCGTTCCATCAGGCGTACAGACTTCGACTTCGTAAAATACTGGGCGACAGAACTTTGATTATCCGGTAGGGTTCCTTGCTCCAGGGGTGAAAGGATTTACGATGGGTTGCTGGCGGGGGAATCGGTCTATACAATTGCACCAATTCGCCCTCTTTGAAGACGCTTTTTCGACTCTGTCAATCGTAGGACCTCTTTTGTCTAGTGTATGCTTTCTTCACCTGTCTGTGCGCGGCGTCAAACACTTTCCTGAGGTTCTCCTTTAGTCACACGACGTACTGAGGCGCATTATCCCCTACCGGTTTCTTACGAGGAAACAAATTGTCGGTAGGAATTCTCATTTCACGGCCCGTGAGCATTTTGAATGGTGAGACGCCAGTCGAGGTGTGAACAGAGGCTCGGTAGGCGAGGAGGGCTCATCCTAGGTATACATCCCAATCCTCGGATTATTCCTCTTTGGTAAAGGCCTTCAATCAATCGACAAGAGTACGATTTGTTCTCTCTACTTGCTCATTGCCCTGTGGGTGACTCGGCGTCGTACGCGTCCTACGGATTCCAAAGCCCTTGCACAGCTCATTGAAGAGACAACTTTCGCAGTTCGCCCCTTGGTCGCTATGTGCGGAATCAGGCACGCCTTGTTGGCAAATCCAACGATTGAACAATGCGTTCGCGACCTTGTTGAAGCAGTCTACTACCATCACCAAAGTATAGCGGTTTCCTCTCGGAATGGTGGGAAGCGGACTCATGATGTCTACGCCTACTGGCTCCCCTCAAAAGTCCATCGACATCGGCTGCAGAGGAGGGACTACCACCGTGCGAGTTGAGTTCTTCAGGTTGGTACACGTAACGCATGCGCAACAAAGAGCGGAGACGTCCGATGTCATCGAAGACCATCGAAGACGTCTTCCTTGCGGCGTTGAGCATC